CCCCCCCCCCCCCCCCTCCCTATCCCGAGGCCTCCGTTGCTATCCCACCCGCTACTCGGGAAACAGAAGGAAATCGCACTCAACACACATGCCTTTCCTTCTGTTTCTCCTAGCTATTGCTAGCTACCCGGGCGGTTTAAGACGAATGTCCCGCTCGCCTTCTACTTTCGTTTAACTAAGTGGGCCTCGTAACTACCCTATTTTTCTTTCTTTCTTGCCCTCTTAGTCTGCTCTTGTTTCGTTGCTTTTTCTGTCTTTCTAAGGCTTTTTAGGTGTCTACTAGTTCTTCGTTGCGCCAACAATTTGGCGCTTTTTGTACAAATGTTCCCCTGGGAGTTAGGACGCTACTGGAGGCCCCTGGCCTTACTACTACTTTGACCGCGCCGAAAACGGCTCTGTGTGTGTGTCCACCCCTGGGCAAAAGGTTTTTGTCCACTGGTTCAACGGTAGGGGGTGTCTTGAAAAAGCGCCGAAGCCGGCGACTTGTGTGTGTCCACCCCTGGACAAAGGGTTTCCTTCGACCACTCCAATCAGGCAGGGGCGTGTGGCACTCCCGCCCTACCACACGCAACGAAGCTGTGGGCGGGAGTGGGAAGCAGGGCCCGATCAGCCCTGCGCACCTGCCGTTCTATCAAGCTGTGACTCCACTCTTCCTTTGGTTTGCTGTCATGGTGGTTCCATGATACCTCCCCAAAACCTCCCCTTTGCCGCGTTTATCTTGCAGCTGAGCCGCGCCGACCGATCGTTCAGCAGACTTGACCAACAACTTGTTGAAACACCTACAAGTCTTTCGGACTTTTCACCATGCAGTTCTGTCACCTTCCTTCCCAGCGTGGGAACTGAGTTCACTGAATACAAGTGTCAGAGTGTATATAAAAAGAAAAGACCACCAATGGGGTTGCGTCTATTTTCCTTCTTCCAGGAGGTCTTTGGGAGGACTCCCTATTTTGATATACACCCATGTGGCTTGCGTCTGCAAGACTTGGTTTTGGAACTGTGTTCAGCCACAACACGTCTTGAACAAACACCCGGTGGTCGTTTTGTCGACCGGGTCTAGGCGTATGTCTTGACTTAATGCCCGGTCGAACACGTTTAAAGACCGGTCGAAAGCCTCTACTTCGCCGGGTACAGGGGTGAAGATCTATGCCCAAACCATCGACCATCCATGTATGTCATATTTACCATCCATTGGGGGATCAATGTAGGGATTTATTCCATGGTCCATATATTATATTCCTTACCGGCACCTTCCCATGGGTAAAATTTCCTCAGTTAGCGATTCCGTCCATGCTGCGCAGCATGGAGAAAGATCATGGTGTAAATTGCAACTCCTGGCATCACACGCAAAGGATCTTGCAAGTCCTTCAACGTCATGGAACGCATGGAAGGCCTCTTGAGGTCTTCGCAACCGTGAGCTGAAATCCAAGAAATCTGAGAACTCTACCACCGAACTCTGCACGGTCGACCGATTCTCAAACGGCACAAGTACCGTATAGGGAAGTGTCGTCAACCCTCCGACCCTTTGACCACCGGAACGCCCGTCCCCCGCGCCATCCGAACCGCGCTCAGAATGCGTGCAGAGCGTCCAGAACCTCTTCCGCGACGCCTTGCTGTGCTTCGCCAGTTGGGGGGCCCATTTTTGCGACCCAGCAGGCGAAGCGGAGTGCAAAGCGGAAGGATGTGCAAACAAGTGCCTTGCAGATGTGGAGAGAAATCCTAAGAACATCGACTTTTTCGGCCTTGCCAACTTCCAACGGCCTTCCAAGTGGAAGCGCGGAGTCTATACGAGAACAAGTCCCAGACACTCCATGAACATATGATAATAAATACCTGGACCCGACTCTACAGGTCTCCGAAATGGTGGCTTTTGCAGACTTAAAAGTCGCAGGTGGTGACCTGTTGGAGGGTGCTGGTATGATGGTGTGCCAGAACCGGAGCAAATAGAAGCAGGTCCTTGATCCAGCCTTGAGACTGTCCGTTTT